TGCATGAGAAATTAGAGTGATACCTATGTGCCCCACAAATACACCTGAAAAAAACACGTACAGGCAGTATTGTCATTTTATGAGAAGAGACAATTGAGCATGCTCTAATTCGTCACGACTGGTTTCGGTACTTTTCAAACACCACTCTGAGTGAGCATCTACCAAACCTTTATCAGTGTTACAGGGGCATTTGAGTTTAGGGGACAGAGGTGGAATATTTCACCAGCTGAAGTACTCGGTCCGGCTCATCGCAATTGTCGCTTATCTATCACCACTAAGAACAGGAGTTTTGTTGCCGCTCTGTGAATTTTTCAATAGGCATAGTGAGGAAGCATGATACATGAATACTCTCCGCCACAAGAAACAAAATTCAGCCCTGGAATCAGGTGAAGCGAGTCTTAGAAGGGAAGCAAGGTAAGCAAAATGCACGAAATGAATCAGCCAAGGAGCGCTCTTGCACTCACACTCCTACAGGTTCGAGCTGCCGCGTTACATGAGCTGACATTAATTGCTGATGTCTAGCTGCTGGCGTAGACTGGTAGAGTATCTCTTGCTTTGTCAGCCTGTCGAGTGTCGTATAGCAGCAATGGAAAAGGAACAGTTGTGTCTGTCACTTCGGTGCTTGAAGGAACCGTGGGCAGTGTGACCTCTGTGTCACCACAGTGTGTTTCAACAAAGCCTTCGAATGAGGCATACAGGCCTCTCCTGACAGCTGTCATACGCTCCACTGGATACGCTGACGACGACTCTTGTAATGCTGCTGCCAGGTCCACGAAGGAACAAAAGGAACAACCAAAACTTCCCTCGCATGCGCGCATCGCATCGAAAACACCTTTCTTCTTCAGCATAACGCTCATACTCCTCTGCCGTGCACGCGTGCCTGTCACGCTCTCCAGGATGTCAGTTGCCCCTGCTACAGTTCCGGTCTTCGGGTCGCTGCGCTTGGCTTTTTTGGCAACACAGACAGTGAATGGCCAGATTTCCACTTCCCAAAAAAGTCGAACACATCGCGATTCAAAGCGCTAGTCGCGATCATTTTTTCTTTGGTGCCTCACTTGATCTTGCCATCACAACCTCCCAAGCAAAAGTAAGTTAGATATCGTGATTGGACTGAGTTTTACCTGTCAAAAAGTGCGTGGGAGATAAGCGACAATTGCGATGAGCCGGACCAAGTACTAGTTTTGTTCTGAATTTGTGGAGTACTAGGTCGCATCGTGTAGATATGTCAGTATACGTGTATGATTGTGGTGAAATTCTGAGCATCAAATTATTATGGGCATCAAAGCACCGGTGCTTGCCCATTAAATAAATAGGTCTCCTGCTCTCTGACTTTTGTCTTGCATCGCACGACTATCAAATTCGTCGAATGAAATGAAGGAGCAAATTTGTTGCTGACTGCATCAGCTCTGTTTTCCTCTGCTGTTCTTCTTTCAGTGTGGTGACTTCTGATCCATGAGGCAATGGCATGAAGTCAGTAGTTTGCAGTATGTGCAGTATGCGGCTATCTCTCTGTCAATGTACCTGTGACAGCTGAAGCCCAGATCACGGTTGCAGTTTGCTGGCTATGGCCAGCAGCAGTCTAAAGTTGCACCTTTCCTTCCACGCACAGCAATGCTGAATATGTCATGGACAGACCTCAATAAACTGCTTATTGGAAGAAGCATCGCAATTCTTGTCTGCCAATAAACAGCAGGCTGGCCAGCTATAATAATTATAACAGTTAGGAGGCCGGAAACGCTGAAGACGCGATCCCGTTAATATATTGCGCCAACTGCAATGAAGAAGGCCTCTTTGATTTATTACCATTTCGTGTGGATATCTATGGTGTTGTGGTCCAAGTCGTGCGGACCATAAAAGGTATTAGACATGAAATAGTGAAGGTACTGCGGTTGACACTGACGACAGTAAACCAACAGTGGATATCAACCACACTCCCAGCGTCATTCTGCACATCAGGAGAATCCTATACAGTCAACTTGGCTAATAACGACTGCGGACATAACGACAATTCGCAAATAACGACAGAATTTCCATGCCCAGAGCAAAGTCCCATCCCACTGTAATACATATAATGAGACTTCGGGTATAACAACACTTCGCGAAAAAGGACACCGTTTTGATGCCCCGCCGAGTGTCGTTATAAACGAAGTTGACTGTACATATAGCTGCCAACTCTGATGGTATAGACCCGATAACTTCCATCTTTCTTGTTTTGTTACTCTACGATTGGTATACACTCATGTACTAGTGCAATCTCTGTACATATGCGTAATGCACTGTATTTGTTTCTGGTGACTGGAGGTAGTTTATCATAGCACTGATTTTTGTTTTGTTTTTGTTGAAGATGAGCATTATCATGTTAACGTTGCCGGTGTCGCGGGTCATTCCACAGTCCCCAAAGGTGACGTTCTCGGCAACGGACCGACCCAGTAGGCAACTGATTAATGATGAATTTGCTGCCATTCATGATTGGTATCACCGTGCGCCACAATGGCATATGGTGCAAAAAATCTGTCATAGGGCAAGAACAAGGTGTGGTTGGTTGCCTTCCTCGCTGCTGAATGAGCAAGGGATAAGTTTGCAAGTCGCTTGACGCCGCTTGACGCCTGGAAAGAGTGTATTTGTGACCATCAAGATCGCGTAAGGCCAAGACGCCACTGCAATGCAGCGGATCCCTTGTCTAGACCTCACGTCTTTCTTCAGCTCTTTCAGTTTCTGTTCATGTGTGCTTCATATGCTTACTCTTTGGTTTTGGATATCTTGACGGACATTGTACATCATATCAGTCATGTTCATTATGTAGGATTTCACTCCAATCCTTTGTTGTTGTCCTAATTATCAACCTAGGCGGCATGCCATGCATTTTGTGTAATACAAATCAATGATTATGTAGCATAGTACATGTGCATGTATACAGAAGAATGGTTTCTTCCCTCTTTCCTATTTGCACTGCACCTTTCTGTATGTTTGAAAGGCATTTTGTCCGAACCCGGTGGTATAGATAATTTTTTTTTAACATCCTTAATTGTCTCCAATGTAGTAACAGTTACTATGCTGTGACTATGCCGTTGCTATGGTTACAGATGTGAAACAATTTCTTCCGTATTTTACGCCCTTGCATCCTGAATCTAAAGGAAATAATGTGATTTATAGGGAGCACTAGGTGTCATGGTCAGGTTTTAGGTGTCCATTTGTTGTGTGCTCGAAGTGGGAACGGGCGTGAATATTTATGGAGCCTGGCTGCTGGACTGCCGTATTTCCCCGTAAGTAAGTTCTCCCCAATGACCTAGTACCCCCCTATAAAAATACACTTTCCACTGCCGAGGTTATCACCCCGAAAGACAGTTCCCCCCGAAAGATAGTAAGTTCGTACCCGTCCTACATGTACAGACACCGTACAGTACATACATCATATCAAGAGTACATGTGTACTCTTGATCATATGCACGGACACTAGAGTTGCGCAGGCTTCCCACTGCGTGTCATTTACCCCCGGTAAAAAAGTACTCCCCGAAAGATAGTACCACCCCCGAAAGTTAGTACTCATGTGGTTCCTAAGTTCGAAAGTTAGTACGTACTAACTTACGGGGAAATACGGTATTAGACTCTCTGTCAGTCAACTATGGTAGAAATACAAGTTATCATGTGCAGGGTTTCTCCCTCACTCTCCTGCAATGCTACACTCCTACATACTGCGGATGCATTTGCTGTGTTTTCACGTCAGTCACGAGGTCGGAGAAAGCCACGTTTGCCAACGCGCTGTATAACGTTGCATGCATGGCTTGCCAAAGTTGCATACAAACGTTGTGGCCTCATGGCTTTTGCATTACATTTCTAGAATTACAGTGGAACTCACTCAGACCATACCCGGGTAAGACGTGCAAGCGCATATACAAATGTGTTTGGGAAACGACGTACCATGATAGGATTTACAACTAGTATTATGAAGGACTTTTCAGCAGGTGCAGACAGAGTGTACTAAGTACTTTTTTGTTGTTTTTCAAACACAGTTCCACTTGACAGGTTTGCACGACAGGTATTCTAGCATGTTGACAGTGCTGAGAAGGCTGTTTGCAGTGAAGGAAGCCTGGTTTGGTGTCACTAACCACGTACATTTTGCAGGGTCTAGGAAGAGTCAACTTTGCATAAGAAGTACTTCAGATACTAGAGACGTTTTGCATAACCGTTTGCGCCTATTTTTGTTTGATATCACTAAAAGCGAACAATCGCCGTTTGGAAAGGGAAAGTCGAAGGAAACGTAAAACAAACTTTTGCAGTAGTTTTCGCTGTTCACGGACCAGTGCAGTGCAAAGGCGAACCACCCTCATGCAATGTTTTGTGCTTCATCTTTCACAATCCAGAAGATCTACTCTTGGCTTGGTCGCTAGTGCTAGTTTGACAATATGGCAAACCATGTTGTTTCATCTCCGTAACCACGTCCGATCTCCTGTCTTCTCATTTTCTCAGAGTCGGCGATGCTTTTCTGGATTTGTAGATGTTGATGCGCCGGATTGTGGCACAGGCCAACATGGTTGTCTGTGGGTCTCCGGCTATCGACAACATAGTCAAAAGGCTCTTGTCTAAGAGTGCAGCCACTCGCGGCAAATTATTTTCTCAGTCGGATGAAGCTCTGTAGATCTACCGAAGACGACTTCTCAAACAAGCACGAGTGCACTCGTACTTTCTTGGAGCGAAAATCATGGAAAACAAAAACTTCACGCGAACATTCGCACATATATTCGCAAGCCCAGACGTGAAAATCCATGCGAACGTTTGTTCTGCAAAACCTCTCTACTAAGTTCGCTTTTCCACTCCCGAGGCAGTACCTCTTATCCGAGTTCCACTGCATCTCACAGAGAGCCGTTCGAATGAATATGCCCGTATTGCTCAAAACGAGAGCCATTACAAGCAGTGGACCATGCAATGACCCTTGAAATGACCGTTGAAATCAAGTCCCACACGTTTGTTCCTCCATAACCTAAAGCAATCACTTCACTTACCAGCACCAGAGCTCTCATTCTTGCTGGACTCTAGCCCCATTGGTAACAATAGCCTTCACCAGTGTTGTCACCACACGGATACCTGAAACACAGCAACACACAAACACAGCAACACACAAACACAGCAACACACAAACACAGCAACACACCAACACAGCAACACACAAACACAGCAACACACAAACAGAGCAACACACAAACACAGCAACACACAAACACAGCAACACACAAACACAGCAACACACAAACACAGCAACACACAAACACAGCAACACTGTCATAAACTACCATGTACAGACACATCCACACATTGTCGACTACCAGCACCTCCAGACACTTTTACACGTTAAGCGGTGATTTATGCTAATCGGATCTTACAAACACGTTATTCTGTCTGATAATCAGAAATCCTACGGACAGTGGGGAAATCTCTGCCTTAATCACTACATGTTTCATGTTCATGTTGCAATGGGCCAGCAAAATTTATGTTCTCAGTTTTATAAATGAGAGAGCAGGCATGGATACAGTACTGGCACTAATGACAGTCCAGAGACCTCGCTATGTTTTGTCTTTAACTAGGGCTGTAACTAGATACTATATTTACTGTCAGAAAGTGCAACAACTAGGCAGAAAACCGGCAGAGTACTGAGACCCTCGATGACCTGACACCTAGCTTCAAAACATCTCCGTAGCGCAAACCAACAGCCTTCTAACTCTGAAGGTTCAAGATTAATTTAAGGAGAGACCAAAGAGGGGAAGGTAAGCGCAACGAAAACGAGCACAGGCCACAGTCCCACGGGAACGAAGAATGTCGATTGTTCCTGGTTTGTTTAACTTTCTGACTGTATGATAATAATTATATAGTTACTATATTATCTAGTTACTATGGAATCTAGTTACTATAGTAACTAGATTCAATAGTATCTAGTTACTATAGTAACTAGACAAGATTGAATCTAGTTACTATAGTAACTAGATTCAATATTGTCTAGTTACTATAGTATCTAGTTGCAGTGGTGTACAGTTACTCTGAACTCGTATCCATGTATCCTTTTCCTTTCTAAATGTATATTTATTATCGGCTCAACATCCGAGTTTCAAAAAAACATGTATGCGATAATTATATTGAAAAGATGTTTCTATCAGTTTTATAGAAATAGCAGAAATTGAAGTAACACGCATCATGACCTAGGTGAAAGCAAAGCGTAGCGAGGGGGCTGGTATTTCCAGCCCACTCATTTGTAAACCAATCATTAATTTTCTGGATTCCCCAGATTCTGAATCGAGTAGTGGTGTACGCTGGTTGTATTTTAACCCTTTAAGAGCCGCCCCATACTTGAATGCATCGTAAACGACGCATTCAAATGCAAAACTTCAAAAGATCGTAACTTAGTCCCATCTCGCTCAAATTCAGTGATCAAAATATCCAGGGCGAAGAGAAAACTCTTACCTGTCGGGAGAAACAATCCGCGAAGCGCTGCAAGCAACGGTTCCTGAGATAAATCACTCGTAAGTTGAGCCGCGATCGCTGCAATTTCAAAAGCGCGCAGTGCGACTTTAGTATTGAGAATTTTGAGACTTTTCGTCACACTGGTTTACTCGAATTTGCACGGGTTTTACTGTTGACATTGTCGAGAGTACACAGCGAAAAAATTGGAACTCCACGATCGAGTAAAATGAAATATCTGGAGCGGGACGCAATTGGACGCATTTGGGGCATTTTTCGTACTGTCGCTGCGATCTAGCGCTGGATAGACGGTGTGCTGGCTATCATGATCGACCTCATTCTCTTCCTCTCGCGGAGACCTTTCCAGGAAGCCCTAGATTGTGAGGATTGAGTGAGTAGAACTGAAGCTATGATCAAAGGAACACGAAAAAATGCAGAATTTTGAACTTTTCCTGTGGCTCTTAAAGGGTTAATTTTTTTCAATTTTTTCCATACATAACATGGGGCTCATTCCTGAACACACACTGACAGGTCAGGTATATTCTACGGAGTAGTTGTATTATGCTATGGTGCTAGCTTATCGATTTTTTCTTCTTCTTTCTTTTTCTCCAATTGTTGGCACACATAACGTGTTACTGAAACACGAACTATCTCCCTGCATGCATTCCTTCCATACACTTTGCACGCATACACATCCTACCAAGTTGCTTCACGATATGAACCTTGAGTTGAAAGCCCTATTTGAATATTTGACCAGTTTTCTTTACACACACACACACACACACACACACACACACACACACACACACACACACACACACACACACACACACACACACACACACACACACAGATACACAACGAGAGGGCTTGAATGAACAAGAGCAACTCAATATGCTGCGTTTTTACTTTCTCCGCGTCATTACAATTGTCACTTTCTAGAGCGATTTTGTCCACTCGAAGTGAAGAAATCAGCTAGAAGTTTGTGGCCTCCCGCTTTGCTGCACTTGCGGCTGGGGTCGACGTCTTCACCAGAATTTGAGGCAGACCCTTCAGTACTCAACAAAACGGTGAACAAGAAGCGAGTTCAAATTTAGGTCATGAAACTTCGTTTTCAAGCAATCGATGCCTCCAGGTGGCAGGCGATGACGGCAAACTAGCATTTTTGAAGTACACCGTAACGACCACCAGCGAGATAGGGTGAGCAGTTCCGCACCTCCTTTCCTTGACAAGCGCTTCGCTGGTTTTGTTGGTGTTTTCAGGCATGCCACCTTCGCAGCAACATGCGCCACATGTAGCGCATTTCAGGAATTTGAGAACACTTTGTTCTTGCCATCGTCAACTTCAGCATGCCAAATTCAAGAGATATACCAGGATTCGTATCCCTGCGCCTTTTTTTGAAAAAATATTCACGGTTCGCGTGGGAATGTGGGCCGGTATGAACTCCAGAAACAATATACACACTCTGGGCGAAATAGTGCGAAACGCGAAGAACTTGTTTGGTGCGGAAGAGAGCTCCAAAATCACAACGGCCTTCGTAACAATTGCGAGGGAAGGGTCATACCAATGTTCGAACACAGAAAACAGTGATTCCGCCAGCCTGACTAAGGGGGTGATTATATGTGCAGCTCCAGCCCGGGCTGGTCGACAGGCGGGCCAGCCCGCCTGCAACGGGATCTCGGGGTTGTCCACAAATCCACACAAAACCTGTGGTGCGTTTACATGGCAAGCGGGCTGGCCCGGCGAGGCGGGATCCCGCCTCGAGGCACCCGGGATCCCGGCTAGGCGGGCCAGAAAAAGCACATATAAACAGACCAGCCCGGGCCAGAGTTGTATTATTATGGTGTCGACACTGCGTTGATACTACAAAATAGGTACTTTTACCTTTTGAGGGAAGTTATAAAGAGGATTCCCGATATTGTCTTGAAAATCTATGAAGCTTTTTGTACAGCAACAAGAAGGACGTGCAGTGAGCACTGTGTATTTGTCGACATGCAGGATTTACATTAAAACGGAAGGGGAACTACTTGCAAAATACTTTGATATGGACAGCTAAAAATGTGAAAAACAGGGAAAAGAAACGAGGTGATACAACACACCAAACATGTGCCACAGCATGAAAATAAATCAGCAGAAGAATACAATGTGTGAGAAAAAAAGTTGTTAGGTTTATAACCTGAGTATGGCTTGCAGCCCTGCGTTTCAGCCCGGGGCAGCACACTGCAGTCGTAGTGTGTTTGCTGCATACTCACAACGGGCTGGCGTGTGCTCAGTGCATATAAACTCACTGCGGGCGGGCGACCAGCTCGGCCTTGCACATGTAAACACCCTTGGCGGGCTGGCCCGCTCGCTCCAGCCCGGGCTGGAGTTGCACATATAATAGGCCCCTAAGACAATCAAGTCACAAACATTGCGATGTGCGAAGCGACAATTGTAGTGACGAAACCTGCTCCCGATAATAAGATTTTTAAGGGGGACGTGTCCCCCAGACCCCCTCTTTCTTTTCGCCTCCTTTCGGTCGTACAACTTTTTTAGAACCTGGTGGCGCCCCTGCAAAGTGATCTGTCAGGGATTAGGACTGCCCTGAAAAGAGAACAAAATGCAAACCCCAACAGGAATGGAACCTGGGACTTTGCTTGTCATGAGCATAGCACTAACCATCTAAGCTATGGCACTGTGCAGAACCTAGAAAGCGCTGACAACTTTTTCACTAAACCTTCAGCTCAAAAAAATTTCGAAATAAATTTGTTTTTCTGGTGAAAGGTCACCGTTTCCGATTGGAAGAAGTCCCATCTTTGGAATTCGACGAAATTATTCATCGACTTATTTTCTCTGCTTGTAAAGCACACGGATTGAGAGTGAGTGGATATTGCAGCAGCCAAAAATTCCTTCGCGTTTGAATTGCCGTTGCTGCGCTTCACTACGAAAAATACAATACCATGCGGACAACTGTGAGCACACGACACGGAGTACTGTACATCAGCAGAAGCCTTTCCCAATAAATCGTTACGGGTTAGGGCTGCTGTGCTACTAGAACTCAGCGCACACCTTCAGTGAAACATAGGGACTGAATGGGAGATGCTTACCTGACTTCAAGCCAGGGAGAAGCACCTGCTCCCGATAACGGCCGGGTGGTTCCTCTCCGGCGTCCGCTATTCTGGTAACGTTGACCCGGACGATTGGTAGTCCCACAAATCTGAACGCCACCTGCCGATGGCCAGGTAACGAACGAAAGCGCTTCACTTCTGCAACCAAATTGCGACGGAGCGTCACTCAAATTCCCAGAAAAGAACAATATGAAGGGCCGCAAGCAGAACACGCATCCGTCCAGAACACCCACAGACGGCAACGAGCAAGAAAAAAATAATAGATTCCGCATTCAACTAAAGCACGGACGGTGCAGCAGTCCAAGATCCTCTCTACACGTTTGCTGCACGCTCCAGCGGCCAGAGCTCTGTGGCTTCATTCATCTGTCTGATCTGTCAGAAGATGTAGATTTACGCGTAGAATCTAAGCGTAGATTATGTACATGACTTTCCAACATGACATCAGATTCTACTGTCTGCTCCACACTACAAAAGTACAGTGCTGCTCGTGTACATCCATATCTAGGTCTACATAATCATTGCGGGCCCACCTTTCTGCTGACAAGTCACATGATGCTCCCATACCAACTACGAAATAAAGCCGACTGTCTGTGTCGCCAGAGCAGAGCTCTAGAGGCGGACTAGCTGTTAATCAAGTGTCATCACATGCAACAGTGCTAGTGAGCGATGTCGCCTGTACTAAAGATTATGTAGACCCTACAATACTCAACATGCAGGCCTGTTTGTTCACCCACGTACACGTCACGTGGTACACAGCCGGGATAAATCGTAGACTGTAGTAGAAGCAAGGCAGGGCAGAGGAAATGAGATCGGGTTTTTTTACAGGCAGTAGCTACAGCCAAGGCAAAGGCAAAGGACGTAAAAAGGCTGGCGGCATCCACAGCAGCACTCTACACAACACATCATCATCATGCATGTACTGTCGAGGACATGGAAATCCGGTCGCACGTCTAGTGGCCCCAGGGCGCTGGCCATGCAGCCATGGCATGCATTACTACGCGCTGCATGCTGCTCGTCGCATCGTATCAACATGTGCGCCGCATGCAACGACGACGTTCTGTACGCGTTGAGGGCGCCGGCCCTGGTCAATCGACTGGATGTCCATGTCCGCGACATTGTAGTCATTCATCCTGAGCCGCTCGCGTTTTTAATTTTTATTTCGGCCTTGATCTGGTGAGCTGCGTTGCGTTCGGATCATGCTGATTGAGGCTACTCCTTTTCACAGTTCGGCCTCCACTAAGGCCGCGGTCATGTTTCCATGTCCACTTCAAAGAACATGATGTTTGTCTGCGGTTTTGTACGATGTGCAGGCCGCGGTCACACATGAAAAGCTTGCACCGCTTTTGCGGAGGGGAAAAGCGTAGCTACCGCAGCCGCTTTTGCGGAACACGTACACACTATGCAGCAGTCAAACATACATGGTAAACTACTGTGCTCCTCAATTATACTATCATTATAGCTCAACGCTCCGCTTTGGCAGAGGGAATGCAAATCTGTCCACGGGGAAAATTGCGGAAAAAAATCGCAAAAAACGCGGGGAAAACGCGGCATAATATGGCATAATTTGCGGTGAATTGGCGGTAAATATGCGGTGAATAATATTGATCTGCGGCAATTTTCAGTGAGTATGTAGTGAAATCAATCAGTTACAAGTCTCTGGTGTAATCACTCGTCATATTTGAGTAAAAAGCCGCCACGATGAGACGTTGCTGACCGAACAGTGCACCGTGTGTACGTGTAGTGCAACAAAAAAGTTCAAAAAACTCGGGAAAATCGCGGAAAACGCGGTCTTTTAAAAAATCGCAAAAAACGCGGAAAAACGCGGCCGCGTAATTGCAATTTTCCCCGGGGACAGGCAAATGCAGCACGACCTATGAAGTTTTAGATGTTCTTGTCCGAGTTGAAGCGACCCTTGCTTGTAAGTAGAGCTATCGTGGATCGCTGACAGGCTGCTGAATGTCTCCTGTCAAGTACTTACATGTAAGTACACTCGTGGATTAGGGGAACATTCACTGCCGCCCAGTAGCAGTACGGGTGTATTTGAATATTAGTTTAGTTTACATCAATATCAAAATATATTATAGTTGTATAGCAGGGTGTCGTTGCCTCCTCCATGATCCAACATCGACCCAGCGACTGCGTGGACGCCGGCAGTTGCAGTGAGGGTGTGGCAGAGTACTCTACTACTCCCTGGTTGCAGTCCTAGTGTTAGATACTCTGGTGGAAGTATTGCTTGGAGAGAGTTGGAGATCATCCGCGATCGGGGCCTATGAGTTGGGAGACGGATTCCCTCACCAACTATCCACTCATAACGATGCAGTATTGTTTGCGAGATCTCCAGAACGTACAGTTCATTGGCAAAGAAGAACAACATGAAAACTGAATACCAAACGGCAACCAAACAACACCAGAACTCAGTGCAGAAGTAGCACACCAAACTCCAAAGCCATCACCACGCAGGTTCCGCCAAAGCGGATCTGCGAAAGCGGAGGTTCCGCTCGCATTTTTTTGGCGAAGCGAAATCCAAACTTTCCGCCAAAGCGTAACCATGGTTACTTACGCCTCCGCCGTTGCCGAGGCAACGACGGAAGCGTAAGTTACGCATTAGCGGAACCGCCAAAAAAGGTGCATGTGTGACCGGGGCATAACGAACGAAAGCGCTTCACTTCCGCAACCAGATTGCGACGGAGCGTCACTCAAACTTCCAGAAAATAACAATATGAAGGCGAGGCCACGGCGGAGGCGTAAGTTACGCATTAGCGGAACCGCCAAAAAAGGTGCATGTGTGACCGGGGCCTAACGAACGAAAGCGCTTCACTTCCGCAACCAAATTGCGACGGAGCGTCACTCAAACTCTAAGAAAATAACAATATGAAGGGCCGCAAGCAGAACACGCATCCGCCCAGAACACCCACAGACGGCAACGAGCAAGAAAAAATAGATTCCGCATTCAACTGAAGCACGGACGGTGCAGGAGTCCAAGATCCTCTCTACACGTTCGCTGCACGCTCCAGCGGCCAGAGCTCTGTGGCTTCATTCATCTGTCTGATCTGGCAGAAGATGTAGATCTAAGCGTAGATTATGTACATGACTGTAGAACATGACATCAGATTCTACTGCCTGCTCCACACTACAAAAGTACAGTGCTACTCGTGTACATCCATATGTAGGTCTACATAATCATTGCGGGCCGATCTTTCTGCTGACAGGTGACATGATGCTCCCATACCAACTACGAAATGAAGCCGACTGTCTGTGTCGCCAGAGCAGAGACGGACTAGCTGTTCAAGTGTCATCACATGCAACAGTGCTAGTGAACGATGTCGCCTGTACTAAAGATTATGACTGTAGACCCTGCAATACTCAAACAACAGGCGCTAGGCCTGTTTGTTCACCCACGTACACGTCACGTGGTACACAGCCGGGATAAATCGTAGTAGAAGCAAGGCAGGGCAGAGGAAATGAGATCCTTTTTTTTTTACAGTCAGTAGCTACAGCCAAGGCAAAGGCAAAGGACGTAAAAAGGCTGGCGGCATCCACAGCAGCACTCTACACAACACAATCATCATCATGCATGTACTGTCGTGGACATGGAAATCCGGTCGCACGTCTAGCGGCCCCAGGGCGCTGGCCATGCAGCCATGCATGGAATGCATCACTACGCGCTGCTGCTGGTAGCATCGTATCAACATGTGCGCTGCATGCAACGACGACGTTCTGTACGCGCTGAGGGCGCCGGCCCTGGTCAATCGACTGCATGTCCATGTCCGCGACAGTACATTGACATTGTAGTCATTCATCCTGAGCCGCTCGCTTTTTTTTATTTATTTCGGCCAGTCGGCTACATAATTGTCTTGGGGGTTAGACAATGGGAAGTAGCCATGTAGGGGCGTGAGCCCGCCTTTCGCCACCGGAAGAGGACCCACACCTTGCTCTGGTGAGCTGCGTCGCGTTTTAATCATGCTGACTGAGGCTACTCCTTTTCACAGTTCGGCCTCCACTAAGGCCGCGGTCACACATGAAAAGGTTGCACCGCTTTTAAGGCTGCATTCACACCCGGTACAAACATTCGCGTTTACATGACTCTACAAGTCACTTGCAACGCCTGTGCATTCACACAGTCAAATGCAGTGCATGCCAAACACGTAAAAAGTGACCCGCGTGACCCATGGCGAAGAGCGGGAATTTTGATTTCTGCATGAGCTGAGCGCACCAGTACCGTGCGGCACTTGGCTCAATATTTCAAAAATACTATTTCTTGGTCCGCTAGTATGATCTCGGTGGAACACGTCCACAACTGGTGTATTCCTCTGAGTGTGCTGGAGTTGTGAACCATAGCGGCCGTGTATATCATTTCCTGAACATCTCCGGATAGCTGCTTTGCCCACAGATTCAGCTCATCTGCAATCCTCTTCTCGGCAACAGCTCTTTTAATCATAGTTCCATTTTCTCGCTGGTATTTTCCCCATAGTTCTATCAGCCGTAGCTCCACCTTGGCAGAAAAGACAACTCGAGGAATGCTACCGGACTCTCCAAAAACTAACAAAAACTCTGCGCACTCGACACACCAAACCACTCGTTTCGACTTGCCTGAAAACTAAAAGCCGAAATCCGCTTTCAAAGCCGCGTTCAAAGCCGCTCCGGGATGGCTTTGAACGTTGATGTGATTTTTCACTTTTCGCGTATGTTTCCATGCCCACTTCAAAGAACATGATGTTTGTATGCGGTTTTGTACGATGTGCAGGCCGCGGTCACACATGAAAAGCTTGCACCGCTTTTGCGGAGGGTAAAAGCGTAACTACCGCAGCCGCTTTGGCGGACCACGTACACACTATGCAGCAGTCAAACATACATGGTAAACTACTGTGCTCCTCAATTATACTATCATTATAGCTCAACGCTACGCTTTGGCAGAGGGAATGCAAATCTGTCCACGGGGAAAATTGCGGAAAAAAATCGCAAAAAACGCGGGGAAAACGCGGCATAATATGGCATAATTTGCGGTGAATTTGCGGTAAATATGCGGTGAATAATATTGATCTGCGGCAATTTTCAGTGAGTATGTAGTGAAATCAATCAGTTACAAGTCTCTGGTGTAAGCACTCGTCATATTTGAGTAAAAAGCCGCCACGATGAGACGTTGCTGACGACCGAACAGTGCACCGTGTGTACGTGTAGTGCAACAAAAAAGTTCAAAAAACGCGGGAAAATCGCGGAAAACGCGGTCTTTAAAAAAAACGCG